TCCAGAGTTTTGCAAATATCTCAGCAACGTTGTGGTTGTAAAACAATAAAATTGGACATTTCATATGTACCAACCTAATACATAATACGTTTGAACATTGATTTTCAATGAGTTCTCCGTTCTTCTTTTTCTTTTGTAGAAATGAGCTAGTGAATTAAGTTCGAAAAATACCTTAGCAACGAGTTGATCCAATTTCTTTTCGGCTTCCTCGCCGTCATATATGATATGCTTCATTGGACTTAGTTCCACACCTTGCACGATGAAATTGGTTCCCTGGAATGACACTTTAAAAAGTAATAAGGAGAAGCTTAAAAACGTAGAAGCTCAAAAATTTATCTTTGTTCTTTAATGAAGCATCAAAAAGCGACTCCAAGTCAAAGAACAAGGAACTAAGCTATTATGCAAAATTAGAGTTGAAGGATTTAGCCATCAACAACTGCTGACCTCAAAAGCGGCACTCAACCCACGATGTATAACAACAGCAAACCGCTGAACTCTTGTGACTCTATCCGGTTCCTCATTAATAATTCGTAAACCTTCGTTGGCAGCTGTAGCTAACAACGGAGGGAGAGAAGCCGAAAAACAATATCCTAATCCTGAAAAATTGAAAATCGCAACCTGAGTAAACAATACAATACTGCATGTAAACATTTTTGGAACAGTGTTTTCACTCTGAATCAATTGCTTAAGCAATAATTATTCTTGGGTAAGTATCCCCAAACAACTATAAGGGCTACAACAGCCAGATATAAAAGAAATGCTATGACTGGTCCATCGCCATGAACCACGAAAAACCACAACAGCTTTTAAGCAAACATGCTTCATCGAAAGCTAGCAAAAATTTTACTCAATCATAAATACCTCGTAAACACAGTCAGATAGCGATTTTTGAAAAACAAATTTCATTTCTCACCGGACAATCGCTGGTGACCAACGACATACGATCGTCCGACACAGAATCCGCCTGTAGAAGCCAAAGCGTTCTCTAATGATGCCATTACCATGTCCACATCATGGATTGGTACTCCGAAATGTTCCGTCACACCTAGCAATTAAACTGTTAAAGTTTTCCTTTATTCTCTTCAAATTTTTTATACTTTAGTATTACTCGAACTTTCCTTTTGTTCATTGTTATATTCTCAACTTTAGAAGCTGAAGCTCAGGAGTAGTACACCGACACAAAAGCACATCAAACAAAACCGTAGCTCTTGTAACTACTTGACCACTATGTTTGCGAACAACGTAACCAGTTAAAAAGTATTAAGTGATCACGTGTTGCCCGCCCTCATCTCGGACAAAAAAAACGGACAGACAAACTGTAAACCTGTTCGCACAAAACTCACTGGAATCCACACGTTTTCTTCTCCGACATCCGCTGCTTCAAAACACTCACTTATTGAACTACCCATAACATTCGCTTTTTCGGCACATGCAAGAATTTCCACCTTTATCAAACCTTTACAAAATGGCTTTTCATATCTTAAGTGGATTTCCATATCAGCGGAATCACCTTCTACTGAAACACGAACAATTCTGCACAGTAAAATGCTTGCTTATTCAGAAAAAAACAATCGGCACAATCTTTCTTTTTCAAGTCTCAAAATTTGCGTGTCGTAACCCAAAGAATATTAATTTTCACAGTGAGAAATGACTACCTATACTGATACGAAATATTCCGTCGTTATGAAAAGCATTTCCCAGTAATTGAAAATATGAACAAAAAAACATCATGAAATCAAAATACTGCCCTCATACTGTAATCATCAATCAATTTTGCTCTCGAAAGCTTGTGCAATAGCGACCAGTAATAAATGAACAAATTCGTACGTCAACTACCACACACCCACCATTCGAGGCGCTTATCATTTCGGGGAAAAAATGTTCCTCTTCCGATATCTTTGTAGACACGCAATTCCGATTTTTAATCTCAACTCATAGCTCATAATCTCAGCTCATGATAAATACTACTAATAAGTGAATTAAAATTCTATACTTCAACTCAAAAGATGCTGTGCATCCCACTAATAATAGCCCCACTAACGCTATAATGTCTACTTTGTTAGAACTTATCGTTTGCTAGCAACTCTTCTACAGAAAACGGCCTCGCTTCAGAGAAGGTCCTTGGTAGCTGCAACGTCGTGGCTCCGCCTATGTAACTAAAACCTCAACACTTTTTTATGTCAGAAGGCGCTGTATCTAAGAGCCGTACAAGCAGGTAAAGTTCCAGGACTTATTCGGACTTTAGTCTCGAAATTTTACATCCTATGTAAATACTTTTTTGTTGCACCGCCTTAACGATTTCGTCATTGCCGAAACGTCTATGAAAAACCACTACCACATTAAGGAAAAAGTTAGTATTGCAATTTCTATCAGATGTGCAGTCAATTCTTGTCATGTCGCTCATCTTTTGTTCACCTTCACACTAATATGAAAGTACTAGATTATATATGAATACCTACTCGACCTTTTTCGGTCAAAATTGCCTGACAGGTGAATTTCTGCCCGCCCATGTGAATGCACTTTCCCATGCATTACTGTTAATACGAAAACTCGCCGAAATTGATGTCAATACAACTAATGTGTAAGCTGCAATATTGACGCTCTATATCACTAAACAGAACCAGTTCTGAGATGTGACGTCAGCACAAAGTACGTCCTACATATTTCTTTGAATTCACTCCTCCAGATTTCAATGTCGTTCGCTCACCGCGCCGTTTTGTTTCACATGAACTATCCATCATTTAAAAAACTGCAACGTATTTCGTCTTGTAATTCTACATCGCTGGTGTTGCATTAATGATTTCGCTATATAATGATTAACAAACTTCATAATTACAATTGAACAACAGTTGAATAGAAAAACTGAATAGTGAATGGAATTCGGTGCAGTTTGTGCGGTTGCTGTATATGCATGCATATTTTAATCGCTTTATAATTATCACCATGAATTTCATATAGAATGAATACCGTAGTAAAACGATAAAGCTCTCGGCGTTGGTCAATCCCTGAGGGATGCGCCATGCATTCGACTTTATTAAGCACCGTTTGGAGGTGACTGAATGCATATCTGGCCTTTGCAATAATTCGCGGTGACCTACCGATGTATCGAACCGATGCTGCTATCCTCCCAGACAAGTCTGGTACCAATTTTCCGACCTCGGATGAAAGGCTTGGGGACCCATGGGCGCGGGGATAGATTCCACGTATGTGTAGCTGGGCGCTTCCGACCACTGCGCCACACGCGCGAATACCGTAATGATGAACATCAATGAAGGTAAACGTCACCTATACTATATGCGATAGATATATTCTGCATACATAAAACTTTCGCATCTATTCGAGTAATGCAGTGGATAAAAAAGAAACTTTGAATACCACTGAATTTCTAACAGTAATTTTGAGACTATTAAACTAGTGATTCTTCTCTACATAAAGGTTAGGAGCAGTTAAAAAGGGCAGAGAAATAGTCCCGCTCTGCCATTCTTACAAAAAGTGCACGACAGACATAAGCTGAAGTAGAAGACAGAAATCTCAGAACTTATGAAGAATAGTTAGAGCAGTATCGATCGATGCCATAAATCTAAAAATCTCCAGCAAACAAAAGATTTCGTATCATCGAGGAAAACCCGTCACTGCACGTTAACCGTAAGGACTTTAGAGACACGCACCACAAATCATTCGCATGCTGACAATCTCGAAAGCGATGCTGTACTTATAGTACAACGATTACATTAAATTGAAGGCAAGTGAAAGGATTTGTGTGGATTGTAAATCCTTATTTTTTTTATGTATATATGAATTACGACTGCAAGTCGTGGCTCAAATTTATGTCGTGCACCGAGGATGTGCAGTGCTTCAGAGTTGATACCTTTGTAAGCAGAGTGCTCCCCAGGAGTCCTGTTGTGTTATTATTCAATGGTGTCTTTCTATCTTACATCTAAATCATACTCTCTCGTACTCTCCTAACTGCTATTGCACAGCACATCCTCGCAGAATACCTACTTCGAAACAAACACTAACTTCTACAATTGTTCACTACTGCATAAGCTGAACCATGAATGTGACTGACCAGAATATAAAGAATATTATTCATAAATATTGATCTATTTTTCCTTTTCACTTACTTCTACTGGCACTTTCCTTTCTATTGAGTTATTCAAAGCATCGTTAGTCTGGGTAGAAATTATATTTCTTATTCCTGTATAAGCTGTATGAACTACGCTCGTTGTGAACCAGAAACACAAAGATGTTGAGATATGACCAAAACTCAGAAAAAGAGAAAGAAGAGTAAGGCTGGAAGGAAAGCAAAACAATGGGCTCAGTTGGAGGACTGGATAGAACGTGAGCCCGGCAGAAGGAATCACGGATTCAAAGCTAATTTGACGTTCCGTGTTCCGCTTATATCTCAACATCCATGTCGTTATGATGCGTATCGTGCCCTGCCATGAAAAACGAATAAGCAGTGCATAAGAGTTGGCATTATGCTTCTTGTATAACCTTTTATCTGATGTGCGGTCTCGCAATGGTGTGATGCTTTGAAACAGCTTTACCACATAAGATTCCTTTATACTGACTAGGAAGAACTCTAGAACCTCTCCTTCCTCACAAACGATAATCTTACCCATGTTAAATGATAGCTTTAATAAAAAGCACTTTAATAAAAAAAATTTCGCGCACGAGTAACTTTGAGCTTGTGGTCCCTTTACAAATCCAAAATGGAAGCAACGAACAGCAATAGCCACCAACCAACAGTAACAGTCCAACTACGTATTTGTTTCGTTATAAAACACCTTAGCCTATTACTCAGCTTGTTATATGAGCTCTACTCTTCACTAGATACAGTAACTAATGAAACTCTAAGTAAGCAGGCGACAACCACCACTTTGTTCTTTAAACGCCGCATTTCTCGTATCCAATCATGAGGCTATTATGATAATCGAAGAAAAGAGTTTCGCAGTCGCAATTTTTTGCAATCGCTTGCATTAACCTCATGCTTTAAAAAGGATTAATTTGTCACATGATAGTGAGTAAAGTAGGCATAATCAGTATTAAAAACTTGGAATACAGTCAACTCCGAATAAGCACATTCAATGGCAACCAACCGGTCTAACTTTTGTTTTCATTATTAAAGCAAACTTCTGAACTGTACAGCCACTTTTTAAAGATAAAACATTTTCAGGTATTAAAATGCAAGTTGTTGAATCGCTTGCAATACTTCTAACTTTGTTCTCATCCTCACTAGCTCTATCAGTGCAACAAAACTATTTAAAACACCGCCATGTTCGATCTACATCAAACATCGATGACTCAGATAGGACCGTTGGCGAACATGAGGTGAGATCGTCTTAAAATTTTCACCTTATCGTAGCATTATTTAAGTATTTTATTAACTATTGTAGACCGAAACTTTCCAAACTGTTGGGAAAACTAAGTCCACTTCAGTTACAAACGCACTCATAACTGTGATATCATTGGTTTGTTGCCAGACTCCTTTGGAAAAGTTGAACAGGAAGTCATCAGTCTTTCGAAATGAACTTGCAAGAACTAAATGAAAACCAGCTAAAGTAGTAATGACAACTACAGAATCTACGAAATCATAAACAGAAATCCGTAGTATGAAGTCGTCAAGACGAAAATCAGAAATACAGCAAATCAACGCGAACTCCAGAGTGGACGACACTTGAAATAGTTGGGACTTCGTTTACTAAGCCTATTTAACGTAGCTTTACATTCAATTATTTGTATTATTTATTAAATGACCCAATATCACATGTTCTACACTGTGCGGATCCTCTTACTTCTTGCGTTCGATTCATTTCCTCGCATGTACCACCCACGACATTTTTGCGTCTGCGCTCGGTTGCCGCACGAGGATTTTCCGTCTTCGTCACGTATGTCGTTGAATACTAATCAAGTCAATTCTCCCTGGAGTCCCGGAAGGTTACCTCTATTTGGGCTAAGGCGTTGGCACGTGGACTACTAGTGGGCTTGTCCCGGACAGTACTGATACCAGCTTCCCGACCCCGGAAGGATGGGAGGCTTAGTGGGCACAGGTGGAGTGATGTCGAACCAGCCGCTGGTAGCTTGGGTCATTGGTGTAGTGAAATAGATCACTACCACTGCACTTCCTGCATGAATAATTTGTGACGAAGTAGACAATTCCACTGTACTACGTGTATAAGGTGTGATGCAAATCAATTAGTGTACCAGATAAAACAACGACTGAGCAATTTTCCTTAAAACTCCCGTACTAAGTTCAGTTAGCTTAAGATCAACTCGATTATGGGCAGTAATATCAACCTTTCTGTTGATTTTAGAAGAAAATCTAACTTCAAAAACACAGTCGAAACTGCCCAGACATTCATTGACTACCTCATAAAATACTAGGCAACCAAATGAGGATTTCATCACTAAAGGGAAATTATTGCAGAGTTCTACTAATCAGTCTGCCAATCCCACAAGCGAATCGAAAATCATCAGATTAAAAGGAAATCCTTCTCTTTTGGAAAAAATCGAAGCCTGTGATGAATTTAACGCACCCAATCGCCATATGGTTTACTGCAGTGGGAAACTGCTACAAGCAGTGATGTCCGCACACCTCTACAGTGACTCGAAAACATTCGTTGATAAGCCGATAAAGGAAGGTCGAAATGGCAGCGAATTGCTGAAGGATTTCGAAGTTATGTTCCCACAACCAGTTGACGAAATCTCACGAGAAGAACTACGGCTATTCATTGATGAGAACTTCGATGAGGAAGGCCACGAACTCCAGAGGTAAGCAAAGCATTTTAGCTAACTTTTTAAGCCATAAATGGGCTAAATAAAACTCTCAGTACGGAGAAAAAACTCAGATTTCAGCTGTCAGCTTACTGACTGGTCCAAGGATCCGCCGAGATTCAATGTAATCCGGGACAGCACGTTGCGAGAATTCGCTGACAAACTGAACAGTATTTGGAAAAATCTCTGTCGAGAAGTAAAGCCGATTGTGAACCAATCACCACAGCGATTCTCTCTCATCTACGTGCCTCATCCATTTATCATACCCGGAGGAAGATTTCGAGAATTCTATTACTGGGATGCTTATTGGATCCTGAAAGGTCTACTAGCATCTGGAATGACTGATATAGCTAAAAGTATGATATTGAACTTCGCCTACATGATCAACACCTATGGTTTCGTTCCAAACGGTGGTCGAATATACTATCTGCGACGATCTCAACCACCAATGTTCGCACCGATGGTCTACGAATACTATCACGCAACCAGAAACAAGCAAATTGTTAGAGATATGCTTCCCCTAATCGAGAAAGAGTTCCACTTCTGGCAGACGAATCGCTCGGTGTCCATCGAAGTAAACGGCGAAACTTTCGAGATGTACCAATATAGAACACCCTCTACTGTACCGAGGTAAAGGTTACAAAACTAACTTCACTTTAAGAACAACAACTAATTAGGGGCTGCAAATTAGCAAACTGCTACAGAATGTTACTTCACTGGAAATCATTATTTCCACACAGACCAAATTTCTGCATGATTGCTAGGTGAAAGCGTAGACAGAGTTATCAAATGGAATGTACTGTATAGACCTTTGAATTCATGCCATTTAAGTCTATCAAAAGCGATCTGTCATTTCACATCGGTTTGACTTGAAACTTTATCCTCTTTTTATTAATTCCCACCGAGCAAACCTTCCACTTCGAGAATTTCAGGCCGGAGTCATATCGAGAAGACTACCTTGCTGCGCAAAACATTAAAGACAAGAATGATAAGCGTAAATTTCACCAAAACATTGCAAGCGCTGCTGAGTCAGGCTGGGATTTTTCGATTCGATGGTTTGCTGATAAGCATTCCCTCACATCCATCCAAACTACAGATATTCTTCCCGTCGATTTGAACGCATTCATTTGTTATAATATACATATTCTCGGCAGTTTGCATGGAGAAGTTGGTAAGTTTACGCTAACCTATGACGAAAGCAATTTTCGACGCTACAAAATTGTAATTCGAATAACTAATAATTGAGGGAATCACAAGAAAAGCTCGGTGTGGATTGCGAATTACATCAAATTTCGTGATCAATTCGAAAAAACTTTCTACGTTGACGATGCAAAAGGATGGTACGACTACAACTTCAAAACTCGAAGACACAATACTGAATTCTACGCTTCAATCGCTGTTCCGCTCTTCACACAATGCTATGAACCACTAAGTTTAGCCAAAAGCAACGATTTATATGCGAAAATGGAAGAGATGGGCGTGTTCACGTACAAAGCGGGAATACCAACGAGGTAGGAGAATTTTCTCGCGAAAAAATGTATGAAAACTAGTCAAAGTTAACAGATAAACGGCAAAACCTTAGATAACCGTTTAATTTTCAGTTTACAAACGCAAAGCACTCAACAGTGGGACTTTCCCAATGGATGGAGCCCTCTTAATCATATGATTATAGAAGGTCTTCGAAAATCCGGCGATCCTCGGTATTAGTTGAATTCACGTCCACTAATGTCAGCCAATAAGGTCACGTTCACCAAAATCTTTCCAGGATGCAGCAAAAAGCATTCATTCTAGCAAAAAAATGGGTATTAGCAAACTTGCAAGTGTTCCAAGCCGACAAGGCAATGTGGGAAAAATACGACGTAGTGTCGTCCCAACCAAGGCTAGGCAGAGGCGGAGAATATGATGTGCAGGTCAGTTAGTCTTCATTCGCCTACTTGAGATAGCTAGACTCCTAATTTAACTTTTATAATCGCAGAAGTAAAAAATAATTTTCAAAGAAGCAATGGCTTAAAAAATATGATCATATAACCCAAAAAAAATGCAAATGCAGTACGACATTACTGCTTGTCCTCTTTAACAAAACGCAGAAGTTTGTATTAAATGCCAGTTTTCAAAGGAAAAAAGAAATAAAGAAAGAAGAGTAACCATCCATTCTCGACTTAATCTAACATTCAACCATATTTCTGGAAATGCAATCGCCGTCTTGAAGTTATTCCAGCTTAAGTGTTAGGATAAATAAAATACTACATCAATGGATGATTTCTGATGCTAAAGACACAACAAACTGTTCTCCAAATTGAGATAACGATAAATCTCAACGTTTTGAGCCAGATCAAACCATGGACGATATGAAAGCAAGACCAAATCTAAAAGTTTATCAAGTTCTCAACTCCTCAGGTACTCTGATAATCGAGAAGTTACCGACAGTTATCTAGAAAGTAGCATCGTGCTGTATATGTTAGATCTTGTCGCACCAATGAATTTCTTCCTATCAACATATTTTTGGACAGATAATGGCAGTGGTTTGCAAAAGACTCCTGTCTGAGGTGGGAAACAAAAAGAGCAATGAATTTTACGGTTTCTGGAAAAAGATCCCTTAGATTACATCTCCTATAGAAAATGACTCGAACGTAAATGCCAGATATTTTTTTTGGATTCAGTGAAACCTTTTTCAAACGCAGATCCAGCAAAGCTCAACTACATTGGTCTTGATTATTTTCAATTGATTCTTGTACTTTCTATACGTCCCACATTTCAGCCTGGTTTTGGCTGGACGAATGGAGTTGCACTTGACCTTCTCATCACCTACGGTGATCGAATGCAATACGATACTCCAACAGGTAGAAAAAAGCGACCAGTGAACTTCTCACCAGCATTTAACAACAGGATTAATATACTTACCATATGTATAGTTATCTCAATCATCATACGTGTAGATAACTTATGAACAAATTGTACGTGCAAATCAATCACATAAATGTATATAAACGAACAGTTTTACCTGTCTTAAAAATCACATACCTCGCCCAGTCTTTCCGATCACTCCAAATGACCAGCTTTCATCGATGAATACACGCACCTAAATCTTAGTGCTTTAAACAATAAGTTACAGATAAAAGTGACAATAAAAACTATCAGTTATGCATTATTTATATATCTAACAATTAGAGGACCGCATGTGCCTCATCATTAATATGACACATCACTAATATAATAATATATCGCTCACGATGGACTATAAACAAACTCAAGCAATTGATTTTGCAGCGAATAAGAAGCAACTTAACTATAAGATATGGAGAACTTTACCTTATATTTCCATTTTAAATCCATTATACGAGGCAATGGACAGAGATCTGCACTATTTGCATATAAACCCTCAACCACCACGAAGCGACGAATCCTTTCGGCCTTACTCGGATTCTAGAATGATAAATATATCGTGGAATTTTAAAGTTGCGCAAAAACTTTCACACTTTCCAACCTTCTTGTCTATGAGCGCCTGTTCCTGAAGAAGTCGTTCAAAGTCGTCCATATCATTGTGATTAAACCACTCAATACGACTTTTAGATGCCTGCAATCCTTTTTGAATAGCGAAGTTGACACCTAAAAAGCACCGCATACCAAAATCCATGACCAACCCCATTCACGTAGAACCAGTCAGAAGTGAAAAGATTAGATCCATACATTTTCTGACCAGAAGAGCTTGTCACACTCTTAGATGAGACTTGTTATCTGTCAAATGTAACTATGGATTTAAGAAACTTTGGCTTCGAAACAGTTCTTTTTAGAAAAAAACTAAAGCTACTTACCTTGATGATAATTGCCGTAGCTTAAAGAATGCACTAATGCTTACAAGGAAATGGATGCACTACATAGTGCAAAAAAGTTCAGGAAGTATCTTTCGTATTCATCTCTTTTTTCTCTTAAACATAAAAACCTTGTTCTCAGTTCAAAAGTCGTAAACAGGAGAGACAACAGACAGCGCTTGTAGTAATTCCATTTATTTCTCACAGTTTTAATGAGATAACTGGAAAAATTAACCATGGAGCTTGCTATGAAGAACATAGCAAAACTTCCGAAAATAAAAAGCACTACAATGGATTATACCTTTATCGACAAAGATTACGTCTCCTTTTTTTGCGTAAGCGGGAATAGCACTAGCTACGGTGGCAAAACCGTAACTGTAGAGCACCGCTTCCTCACATCCCATGAACATGAAAACAAGATATTTGACAACAGCAAACTGTAAAATTTCGGTTAGGTATGTTAGTTTACGGAAACACGCAGTCTGAAGTGGAGTTTGAAGGCACAAAGTTATGAGGTTGCGTTAAAACAGCCACTCCTTTAACAGATGCTAATCGCTTATGTTGTCCACTAGATTCGATCTAGTTACTTCAAATAATAATTCCGGCTCAGCTGTAGGCTTTATTTATTACATGCGAAACGTACTTTGCCAAGTCGGTTTCTAGTTCAAGGTGGACATCTACAGTGCCATAAAATCCACGCGGTCCACAGGAACCCACACCGTACTTAAGAATCGTTTTCTTAGCAGTTTCCTGATAAAAAAGAGTTGGAACTACAGTGAATGTTACGGAGATTACTTCATGATAAATTTAGCACAGATTTACTTCAGAAACCTTTACAATGGTTCAAACAAAGCACTGAATGTGCGCAGAACATTTACTGCAATGAAACGTACCTCAATCCGTTTTTCACCAATCAATCCCAAAAAATTAGAAGTGGCCATATTAAAGAATTTCTTTCCTTCAATGTAAACATACTTCGTCATTTTTCTGAAACGACCAACTGAGGTGCCTTCACAGTTTGTTCTTTCTTACGATATAAAGAATGGCCACGATTCACTCACCTATCGGCAAGCTTTGCGTTCAGCACACAATGATTTGGTGGTGTATCTGGTACCAGAGGCTCTGGTCGCCAGTTCGCTATCAACTCATCTTTTTCCTAGAATATGACACACAAACGATAGGGTGATCTTGTATTACGGGAAACAAAAGCGCACATATGTTTATGTATATATTTATCTTAAAAACCGACTTTCATTAGACTTCGGCAACAATAATCAATAATATTCTACACGAGTGAGTTGACACGAGGTTAGTATAGCAACTCTTATTCGGCTAACCTTTGGGCGCCTTCGCCCTCCTCAGAACCGCATTGGTTTGAGTTGAAGGTCCACAGCTGGTCGTTGTCACATTGACTCGAACCTAGTATCGGAAGAATGAAGAATTCATTCGAGCGATCCACTTCCATGTCGCGACAACGACCAGCTGTGAACCTTCGACTCGGACCAATGCAGCTCTGAGGAAGGGTAAGACGCCTAAACGTTAGCCGAATAAAAGTTACTATACCAACCTCGTGTCAGCTCAATCACGTAAAATATTATGTGCTTCTATATTTATAATACTGTGGACTAGTAATGAATATAAAATTGTGTTAGCACATAATACCTATGCATTGAATACAATGGATCTAGTACGAAGTGATCGCCGCATCTTAGTTGAAAGCAACATGTCTTAACTCATAATGAATTCCAATAGTTGAAGTAGAAACCATTAAAATCTGCAGATCTCTGTCAACAAGGTACATAGTCTCATATTACACCAACCAAGGATCATAGTTCGATGATAAAAGCGATTCAACAAGAAGGATTTCGTCCTCAAAGCCAATATGTCTTTAGCGTTTGCTTCTACCGTCCTGGGGTTAAATTTTTAAAAACTTGAATCTCGTTCTCAATAGTTTAAGTATCTTAGTTTAAAACAAATTTAAAATTGGAAAAATATTTTACAAAAAAAAGAATATTGCGATCCTCCACAGCTTCGACTCTTACTACCGCTACTTTCCCCGAGATAATTTTTAATAACCCTTCTTCAGTGTTTTGCAAGTTCAGATGTGATCTGGCGACAGCCTGGGCCTCGTCCGAACCCACGTTGGCCTATCAACTTGAGTATTTCTGTAGAAAAACGTCTCTTGGTAACTTTCGTATTCTCTGTTTTCTTAACACTAAGATGAAAATGATGTATAAACCATTTTTCCTTCGACGATGTTATCGATCATTCTTCCAAGAGCCGACTAAACGTATGAATAACCCCCACTTTATGGCACTTTTGGAACCTTTTTTTTTGAATTTGGCGACTTTCTTTACTTTCGGCGAGAAATGAAATCTTATAAAGACATGGTCTAGCCAAGTGTAAAATTTTGGGACAACAGTAACATCGGTTGGGCAAAGCTTTCAATTCAATATGATCAGATCAGTAAAACAACAAATAATAAACGAATGAGACGCAGCTAGAACAACTCATGGTGTAGCAAAAAAACACAACAAATATGACATAAAACGGATTTATGAACGAACCTTCTCGGTAAGCGTTGACGAACGATTTTTGTGTCGTCGACCACTGATGAAAAAATAAACAATAGTAGCTATAACAACTGCCTCAAGGTAGTAATGAAGATATGTTACCTAAGAAAAATAACACACCGAGACCATCGAAAAGCACAGAAGAAAAATCTTAGATTTTAGTTTGAAAAAGCTTACAGTTGGAAGTGGTTGTACCAGCGGTCCCGACATACCAATGGAATAATGTGATGCTTATTCACCTAGAACTGTTTTAAAAAAGTTGAAAATTCTAAAACTACTCAAAAACAACTATTATTTATGTTACTTGATCGGTAAAAACTTTAATAACCACCTTTGAGTCAATTCTCATTTGTGGAACTCTTACGGTTGAAATGTAACAAGTACACACCATTAACAGGCTCTCAACAAGTGTCGATGAAATGCAGCAAATGTAGAGCAAACACTGAGGATACACAAACACTCAAGAGATAAATAGCGGGTGAGCCCTCACTAGTTCTCAGCAAATAACCACTTCACATACAACTTACTACACCACAAAAATGAAATTTGTTCGAGAAATCTCGTTACTTAGCTTTAACCACCAAAATAACATAGCGATTGGAAAACATATATCACCAAGTTCAGGAGAAAAATGGTACCTTCGGAAAGACTGATTAAACAGAGTTATCTAAAGCCAAAAACTAGGCAAAGTTATGGAATATAAATTCTCCTGTCATCTATCGACCTGTTGACCGTCGAGTGACTCGTACGAACGCCAACAAAGCCTACACTCCTCTTGTCACATACAACAATGGCCCAGTGAGTTCTGCACGGTCTACAGAGTCGTTAGGCATCTTACTCTTCTCCTAGAGTTTTAGTGAAGAACTTTCACCATCGGGCCGGTGGTCTTCCAGTAGTACGTTTGACATCCCGAGGAATGCGCTCACTAACGGCTCTTGTCAATCGGTTGTCGTTCATACACATTACGTGTCCGGCCTATCTTATCTCCGACAGTTTGATGTATAGAACGGCATCTTCAAATTTCGATCGCTGACGCAGATCGAAGCTTTGGATCCCTTCCCTCACTTTTGTGACACGGGATACTCCTGGTGTCGTCCTTTCGACTACACATTCCAAAACGCCAAATGATCTTTCATCATGATTGTGTAGTGACCAGGTTTCTCACACACACATTGCGGCAGCCATAATAGAAATCATGGAGTTGAGTGAGCGCGGGGTCGGGTGTTCTTTGGTCTCTTTGCTAATCCTCGATGCCTTTGAAAGCTCCCCTAGCCAATCGTTTCTTCCTGCTCAATCCTAGAGCTAAGTCGGCTACCACGTTCATTTCTCGAACTGGATAGACGTAACCGGTACAATAAGAGATATTCATTCTCTTAAACGTTAACGGGAGATATGTAGCCAATCTGTAACATCGTTCTTGTGAGATTTAGTCGAAGACCAATCTTCCCACAAGCGCTATCAAAGTCGGAAAGAATTCTTTCTGCCTGGATAATGCTGGTGGTATAAGAACGACGTCACCAGCAAAGCGAAGATGGTGAAATTGCAGATCACCGAGTTTCACTCCCATGCTCTTCCAATCAAATGTTTGGTTAACATTTTGGCGGTTGGCAATAAATAATTTTAGCGAAATTGCAAAACTTTTACGTAGCTCATTAAAAACCGTTTCCAGGATCGACTTTCTACCAACCTCGGTATTGGAATATGAATGCGTCGCTTTCTTGTTCAGCAACAGTGAGGTTACTATACAGTATACATTTACTTCCATAGAAAAACATACAATACAATGCAACAGTGGCTGACGTTACGTCAGCATCGCCTTCGTCAGAGCCGCTTTTATGTGGCTTTCAATTACAAGGATTAGAGCAGCTGATTATTGTCGCATATGGTCGATGTCATGATGTCATACGCTCTATGGCATGTCGGATTTCGAAAGAGAGAACGGGTGGTGCGACGTATCCATCCTTCTTTATTTCATATGAGGGAAAAGGGATGTAGCTATTGAAGAGATTCCAGTAGTAATCGTTAATGATTTCCTCCATAGCTTTTCTGGAAGTTGTAACTGTTGTTTGGGCGTCGGAGTGCAATTATATTGGTTTTGTAAATGACGAAGTTTCGATGGGTTTTGTGAATGCTTTTCCTGGCCTCTGCAGCTTCGACCATAACTGCTGCTCTTCTCCTTTTGAGATCTTCTCTTATCGCCTGTCTGCACTGCTATGCAAGTTCGGACGTGAGTTGGCGGTTGCCTGTAGCTCGAGCGACTCCATGCTGGTGTATTAGCCCGAGTATTTCTGGAGACAGACGTCTCTTGGTGACTTTCGAACACTCAGCTTTCATAGCGTTAACGTGAAGATGTTGAATGAGGCGATCGTATTCCTCGTCAATGTTATGGGGAATGGCATCTTTCCAAAAGCCAACCAACGAAATGAGTAAACACCAGTTTTTCGTGATTACGGTTCTTCGCTTTCTGAATATAACGGCTCTTTTTCCTTTCCGCGAAAAGAAAAACCTTGCACAACGGAGATGATTGTCTAATCTCGTGTACAATTCTAGGAAAACAGCGACATCGATTATCCAGAGAATGTATGGTTTTCTATGTAGGACTTCTCCAAGTCCATATAGAACGCTTCGACTTCTTCGTCATGGTTTGATGTCGGCGCGTAAGTAACGAAGATTGTCAAAGCCGGTATTCATCCACATCTTTTTAACCTTAGATGCCCGATTCGGGTTGTTAGCTGTTCGAATGAAAAGATATTCATGGGCAAAGTCGTGTTCTCCTTCAAGATAAAGTTCTTCGAGATTTAGGCAACCTTGAAAGGACCTACGATTTTACTAGCCTGTCCGCACTCGTCTTTCCCAATGCTTCCATATCGGGAGCCCTTTCGATGTCCAGGGAGTGAGCTTCACTATCTCGATATCCCTGTATACCTTGCTGAGCCGTGAACGTAGGGGTTGGGTATACATACTGGTAGCTTGCTAGTCTCTCCCAGAGTAGATGGCGGAACTTATTTGTTGGAGCTGAGTCCTAATCGTCTCCCATATATTTCCTCGTCACTTTGCTGCAGACTTTTGGCCGAATTGACTCATAGAACACAGTCCGCATAAAGCAGAATATACCCAAGCATGCGTGCACGGATATGCCCTCACAAATACAGAGCGTATGCGTCAAATCGGCGCAGTGGAATAGGGAATCCACCCTTAGATCCATCTGCATCTGAGGAAGGCACAAGATGGCACTTTGTCTATACGATAAACTCCTATGCGCCACTTGGGCAATCACGTCGCCTCGCGACTAACCTGCTTATTTCTTAGATGACCCGACATCGTATGTATCACGTTGTGCGAATCCCAGCATCCTAGAGCTATTTCCATTTTATTCGTTTCCTCATATCCGTCATCCTCGAAAGTTTATT